GCGTCGAGAAATAGAGGCTCCGCACAGGATCGGTATATCTAACTTCCTACCCAAAAGGATACTGAAAGGCACGCCTTTGAGTTCTTGAACGATATGGGGAGGTACATCATGCCGAGACCCGTCCATAAAATCGACCGTAGATTTTCTCCAGGAGCCTGAGGTAGCCGGTCACTAATACGAACTAGCAGATGAAGGCGCCTTGTTCGACAACTAGGGGCGCATTCACAAGAGATTGATGAACGAAACCTTGCATGACAATGATCGCGGCATCGAATTTGGCGGATACTCTTTATGTGCTTCTCGACATAAATGAATATGCCATGCCATCTCGGATACCATCATGCTGCACGAGGGGATGGTGCCATACATCAGACTCTTTCCCTTACGAGTACCAAGCTCGCTCGCTCGATACCGTCAGCTACCCATTGAAAAGAGCCCCGTCTTTAACCTCAAGGACCACGTGCCACCCTAGCTGCAAACGATAACTCCCTGGGAGCAGTAGGTCTACAAATCAACGGGAATAGCTTGGTATCTGGCGATAGTCGAGAATGAATGAATGCTGTTGCTGAGTAGGAAATTCTTGTGTATTAGTGGCCTGTTCTATGGCAGCGGCTAGCTAGAAGGACTCGGGACGGCGGGACGGTGGTATCGCTCACGAAGGGGGGCGAGCACGCCGGCGCATGCACAGATTTCTCCCTCATTAACTCTGATGAACATGCGCGGAGCCGAGTATAAAGTGAGTCTAACGTCATCCCAGAAATGAACGACCGACGGTGGTAGTGGTTGCTGCTGGAGGGGTGTAATGTCTTGCTGAAAGGGATTTCGTCTACTTCGGGAAAGTGATCTCTCTGATCTGGTGGACGGATGGTGTTTGTTCACCACGGGAGTGGCGAGATCACAGATAGTCCGATGTCCGCCGAGAAGGACCTATCAGTGGCATGTCCTCCTGCAGTCGTTCTCGCCCTCGCATCCTCGAGAGCGCGCCAAGAATATTAGAATCTTCAGTCAACGTGTTCGTAACCAAAGGCAATTCATGGATGCATAAAGGCGCAATTCTAACGGTGCACGCGGGTGCTGGGAGAGAGATTGATCATCCTCTTCTATTCGTCCACATTTGGAGCATCTATCGTCATGGGCAAAGGCCTCTGATACGCAGAACTGGACTATATGCAGGCGCTACGTACATCCGGGCATGACGAAGACTGTGCCTAGTATTCCCCCCACTGAGGTAACTCGTCTTGGTTATGGATGTAAATCGGAAGAGTTGTACTTTGGGCTGCTGGGAGGAACAGCGCACGTTTTCAGATTCTGTGTACCAGCCAGGTAGGTACCGAGTACGGAACCACAGGAACAGGTGTAGATAGGATGGGACAGTAGGTGTACGTCAAGGATGGACCGCAACGTCACCCGCATGCAAACGATTCGGCGAGCCTCGATGATCTCCGCACAGACTGTCTCGGCACATCAAACTTAATACCCAAAAGGATACTGCGTGAAAAGTGCTATTACGATAGGGCTCGGCGGCATTGCTGAGAGGCGCACCTTCAAGTGCTTGAACGATATTTCGGATATATTGTGATACTCAGTTGATGCACATAAATGGAACGTCGACAGAGGACAGCATGAGGTCCGCAAATCAACGTCGAGGCCGGCCTGTGAACCACATCGCAGCATCGATAGTAGATCTTCCCCAATCCGGATGGTAGCAGATTGTAGTCCTGCCCTCAATGAAGACCCCTCGTTCCGCAAATGGGAGCGTACCATGCAAGAAGATCGCGGCATCGAAGAGGATGATTGCTTCTCCTTTTCTTCACAGGTCACCAAAGTGGTCATCAATGCTGTAGGCATCACAAAACGTCAAGCAATGAGATGCCGAGCAACGTTGGTGCCGTACGTTCGCCTTTCAGCAAACAATAGCTCGAGATCATCGATAAGAGCTAAAGATGGGTGTTTCCGAAGATTGTTTTGTCTCGAGTAGTGCCTGTTGAGAAGCAGTTCATGAAAGATGGAATGAGCGGATCTGAAAAACCGATGTGAGACCGCTGGGATAGCCCGATGAGAATAATGAGTAATGAGCGACATTCGGAGATGAAGGAATGCCGTCGATTGGGATAGAGAAGCATGAAAAGTTCCTGTGGACGGTGTGAATCGGTTGTCTTAGGCTTCCTTAATTGAAGGAGGATCCTAAGGTTAGAACATTTCAGGCCGACACGGTGATAGAGCTCATTGTTAGGACCTCGAATAAGCAATCACACAGCTCGTTCCCTTCATATCCAACTCATATTCTGCACCTAGATTCTGAAGTTCATTAAGTGCCTAATAAAAGATGGCATAGTAAGGAAGCTCACCTCGGAACTGGAACGCTCCTTCAGAAGCTATCCAGAAGGCACAGACAATAGCCTAGAAGTAGTCTTCGTCTCTCATGCCACTAACGGCTCCAGCCGCGCGCCGCAGAGCTATCGCATGAGAATGAGAAGGTAGTGATTGATAGCGGGTGACCTAGCGATTCGCCATGACGATAACTCGACGGTTCCACGTTCATTACGGCGATCTTTCTATCGCAGGACCTTGGACCGTCCCCCATCGCTTGATAGGCACTCGTAAGTCACTTCCAGGGATGCTCCCCCGCCTATTACCTCAACAACTGATCCTCATTACAACAGCCGTATCCTGACTGTGCTTCTGGTGACAAAAATGCGCCTAAGGAGCGCGAGACCTTTACCATAGTCTGGAGAGAAATGTGATCTATTGAAAACGCAGTTGGATGAGAACGACGCGAGAAGGAATTGAGTGACGAGAGTCCACGAAATCACTTTTTGGTACGGATTTGTTATGATCTGGCTATGAATGAGCGCTGACTTTGTTGCAATCGTCTAAAATGACGCACATTCTAGAACCTTCATCGTCGCGACCATTCAAGCCGTATCCGCCTTTCGTACTCGCAAGGTTTCCTGCTAGGTATCCAGTTGAGCTTTGGCTCTAGGACATTAGTAGCATATACCCACTGTGTCTCGATGTCTCGACTCCGTAACGATATCCCTACAGCCTCATACCTATTTCCCATGGCCAGCATCTGCAGTAGACTTCCCCATTTTACCACGCTCATCAGTTATTGTTAAAACTGTAAATTATGCGCTCACCTTGACAGTATAAAACTCCATGTTCTTTCGTTTTCGCCCTCGCGTCTTGTGTAAGAGTGAGAAAAAGCAGGCAGTACACAACGACAAAAGACTAACCTGGCATCCGTATTGTCCCGAATTCAAAACTAAACACCCCTGCGCTGCTTTTTCTCAAGTGGTGTCTGTTAAAAAAGACGCCATCTTGACCCGCGTCAAGTAATCGCACTCCTCAGTTGTACTCCGTGTATATGTTTAGAGCAGCATGTCTCAAAAAGCGACGTTCGACCGCTAGGATAGTACGGTGAGAATGAGGAACGACATAAGGAACGTCGTTGATTGGAAAAGAAGTGGATTGGTGGCCCGGCTCCACGAGGCTTCGGTTCTCTCTTGATTGAAGGAGGGGCGGCATCTTTGGATCCTAAGGTTAGAACATTTCAGGACGACAGATGATAGAGCTCACTATGAGGTCCTCGAATACGCAGACACATCCGCCCCTAGTTTCGTGTGCACGGTTCGTTGTCTTCATATGATATGCTCCTACATTCTGATGAACATGTGCAGAATTGAGCGTCTATCGAAGCTCATTAGGACCCTGATAAAAGATGGAATAGTAAGGAGACCCACCTAGGAACTGGTAGCGCTCTTTCAAAAACTAGCCGGAAGGTCAGTGGACCTAAACAATGACCCAGATGTAGTCTTTGTCTCTCATGCCATCAGCTATGCATCATATTCTGAGGGGCAGGGAGATATGATAGGAATGGAGAGCCAATGAATGAGAGCAGGACACGAGATAAACGATGATAAGCCGCCCAGACATTTGCGCATGACCACCAAATGAATAATCGACGGTTCCACATTCATCGCTCGGCGACAGTCCCTCTGTTGCAGCACTTGGGACTAACCCACATCGCCCGATAGGCACTCGGGATGTACATGTCCCGTCAGGATAAGATAATCCTTCTACACCAGCCCACAATCACCTAAGCAATGCCTTCCTCGCCTAGTGCCCCAGCGCTAGTCATCATTCTAGCAGCAGTGTCCTTGCTGCTCATCACCGCATTGGTGGTGACGAAAATGCGCCAAATGAGAGCAAGACTTTTTGGATGGTCTAGTGACCTGCTGTCCGAAAGGCAATTGGATGAGAACGAGGCGCGCCGCGGGAAGGAATTGAGTGATGAAGGGAAATCGTCCTTGGTACAGAATGGTACGAATTTTGTCGTGGTCTGGGGTATGAATGAGCGTTGATTTTGTGGCAGTCGTCTAAATTGACATACTTTCCACCACCTTTGCCGTTGTGCATATTGGAACTGTACCCGCCTCTCGTACACGCAAAATTCCCTGCTAGATATACAGCTGAGTTACGGCTCTAGGACATGGGTAGCATATACTCACTGTCGCTCAATGTCCCCAGTCCATCTCTACAGCCTATACCCGCTCCCCATTGCCAGCGTCAATTTACCTCGTAATTCTACCGCGTCCATCAGTTGTTGTTACAAGCGTAGATTATGCACTCACCTTGACCGTAAACAAATCCGTGTCCCTACGTTTTCGACGCGACATCTACTGCAGGATATGAGGAAATGCTTGAGGAACACGCCGGCAAATGACTGACCTTGTATCCGTGGTCTTGAATTCCAAACTCGTCCTGCTATTGATTGGCTATTGGTGTTTGAAAGTCCGGTGTTACTGCTGCAGAAGCTTCAAGACTCAAGAGAGCGCTAGACGCTTCAGTGCATAACTTTTCCTGGAAGACATCGCCGTTGGTATAGAGAAACTGATGCCCGATCCGACACATGTTGCGCTGGATTAGAGAATAGAGATGATCGTAGCTGGACTGGAGAATCAACAAGAGTATTTGATAAGTAGTTACGTAAGTTTCATTCTCTGGTAATATATTGGTTAGTATGCGTGCCTGTCATAATTGTTTCTTGCCGTTGTATCCCAGTCCAAGCTGGGTTCGACTCCCAACCTGAGAGATTGTGTCGTTTGATTACAGTTCTAAGTTTACACTAGTTCTCTCTCGTTCTGTTGAAGGCTCGCTCGACGCTTCAAGCAGCAAACTACGTTCAGTCACTGAACTACTAGAAGGGTAGGTTATGTAAACCAATGTTCCTCCAACCAACAAAGTTGGTGTACGCCCCTCCCTCATGTCTTGCAAAGTCATGACAAAATATTACTATCACACTGCCACTACTTTCGCCGCTTTTGGGGACGAACTAGGATAGGTGAACTTGCCATGAACAGCCTGCCACTAAATTCTAGTATTCCGTAAAATTATCCACATCTCAGCCGTACCAACACATTCTGTCCCTTGTGTGCCCTGAGATGCTATCAAAGTTACGCAGTAAGCGTGTTTCTGTGGAGCTCACTCATATCTTTCCTCTAAGTTGACAATACAACAAACGACTCTCCAAGGCAACTCGAACTCAGCCTTTCCTCATTCTGTGACATCGAAAATACTTAGCTTGCGAGGCAATGTATTAGTATAAGTATAGAATTATATGAATGTAAGTAGTTCTAGTAGCACAAATCGAGAGAAGAGCACGAAGTTCTTGCTCGCTGTGAAGAAAAGACTACATCGTGTAAGTAAAGGAATACCAAGTATGGGATAGTAAATGGCAAGGAAGCTTGTGGAAAGATTTAAGATACAAAGGCAGCTCAAATCTGTAAAAGGACCGGAGTCTCCCATCGTTGACCTTTACTTGTTTCCGACTCCATTCCTCCCAGAGCCTGATTTAGTGGAATCTGGTTTCGGCTTAGGCTCGCTTCCATTTCCTGAAGAGCCTTGGCTAGTTGCAGTCTGACTTCCGCGAGGAATATATCTGTGATGCGCCGTATGACGTCTCTCATTCTTCGGACAGCGTAGAGCTCACTTACCCTTGACTAGGGTTTGACGAACTAGTCCACATTGAGTCAGAGAGAAAGATACATGAATAGGGTGCGAACCTCGACAGTCCCCTGTGAATGCCATCGTGAGCATTTAAGATGCACAAATAAGAGATTCGAACGAATACACACCGAACACCTGAGAGGCCACGAATGTGTTTGAAAATGTTGAATTGCATCTTGGGAGAGAGGCGGAGGTAGTGTAGTGAAGGGATACGCACCTCACGCGCTGTCTTTTATACCATAGCATATATTGATGTGTGTTCTATCGCTGGTATGCTACGATTTGACTGTCTTCGTACTACAAAATGCCGACGTTTCAGTATATGTCATAAGCACATCAGGATCTCCCGAAATCAAGGAACAGCGCAGTGTAAATCTTAGGATGTGTACCATGCATGTATCACCGCGCAATGCGTTGATGGTACCGAAATCAGTACCAACTCGCCATCGTGTGTCATAAACCTAGGAAAGAGTGGGTACTCCTCGATCGTGTCATATGGACCAAGTACGGAGGGGACCAGCGAATAAAATACGGAGGAAAAGTTGATAGATTAATGAGAGGGATCCTGGTATGGAAACCTCGGTAATGATGAACAAGGCGGGTCGGCGGTATGGTTTACCAAGGTGACATCGTAGCATTATTTTAGACGATATCTATTTCCGAGGCGTCGGTAGAGCTCAGTTGAACAGAACATATTCCTGAAGATACATTAGAAGGCTAAAGTAATAGTCGACTAGGCTAGTCGGATAGATGTTCAGCGAAGGAGCTATGGGGAATTTAAGGCTTCCTAAAGGATGAAACCGTATAAGCGAGTGCCTGCTACAACGGTAGACCATGGTAGGCCAGGACTTGCGGGCCGATCGCCGTACTCAGTGCCTGCCGCGAAAGACGCGTCGTCGGCTCAATTCTTCAGGCGAAGTCCAATACTATTACTGCCCGAGACGCCCGAGGCTCAGCACATCATTCGTCCTTTCAACATGAAAACTGAAAATAACGGCGGTGAAGCTATGCGACAGTGGGACGAAATTCGTCATTTGATTGTCTAGCGGTTGACTTCATTCCTCTTATAGCAATATTCCCATGTCGTTTGCATCTCGCCCGGAAACGCCTCTTCGTCATCGTCCAACGTGAAAGCGACGCCATCATCAATAGAGTCCGTTATTGCTTATCTTGCTGACAGTTTGAATGGAGAGCCAGATGTACCCCTGAGAATCTGCCTTCCACATTTTTGTATGTATCATCTCAAGCACGCTAGGCTGGCGAGGTTCGATCGTAAGACGAAGACCCACATGCACAAATTTCCTGGCCATTCTACATTGTAGGATTTGTTTCCCGAACCCATTAAGCATCCTTGTTTATTAGGATTGTGCGGGCACATACAAAACGTAAAACGCAATACTACGGATTTTTGAAGATACCCGGTAGATCCTTCGTCTCTAAAAAGCAAACTCCAACCCCTTACAGCTCCGTTCGCTAATGTGGACCCCTCTCAAAAAGCACCTGTAGGCGATCATACATCCCACCGGTGCCCCGAATCATCAGCGCTTCGTTACCAACATTGCAAGCTACATAGAAATCAGGGTCTACAGAAGTGAGAAAAATCGGGAGTCAACTCGCTAGCTCTCTGAGAGATTCACTCAGCAGCGGACGGTTGATGAGCTCAGTTTGAATGCGGATTATCGATGGTGTTGGGTTCGCAGACCACGCAGTTTCTAGAATCTGCATGACGTTTTTATGGTCCGTTTCTGAGGAGAGGAAAACACGGCCATTTGGTATCTAGGATGAAGATTACTCTGCATGTTTCCTGGCATCGTAGTTTCTAGTTGGAGGATAGGACGACTGGAAGCCCCATCTCGACGGTTCCAGGCAGCACGATGGACGTCGATTCGAACCTGAAAACTTCGACGCGTCTGTAGCGTGGGAATCATCTGCCTTTCCAGAGACTACTCACTTTCAACCACCACCACCATCACCGAAGTCAACAGCATGCCCACGATGGATCATGGATGCCGACTTGCACACTCACAATTTTCCTGCCTATCAACAGAAATATTTGGTTGATTTCTGCTTTGCAGCGGTTCACCTTGTTGGGGCTTGCAGGAACCACGATCTGTTCTTCCACGGGGTGGGTACGCTTGGATGAGTCTTTCTCACCACTTGCTCACGCATCGTAGGCTCAGATAACACGAAAATGATGCAAAGGCGAAAGTCATGTGTCATCGATGGATAGTCGGTAGCAGCAAGGTTCGTTCTCGTTGACGGAGAACTTACCATGCAATCTCCTGCCACACAGTGCTTCCCTCCAAAAAATATCATTCTTTCCTATAGGGCCAGCCAACCTCCTCAATGGCCGCCCACAAACGATTCGCAGGTACACCGTAGATGAGAAATGTATCTCGATGATGTTCAATCCTTGCAGAAGCTGCAAGCCAGCATGGTGAACACACCGCTATCATCATTAGTCCCTTCCGAAGATACGATGGATGAACCACCCATATAGTTTCTGCCTGGCACACGGAATAAAACCTATTCGCCTCTATCAGCGCAGCATGACCATGATGCGCGCAGACAGCTTTTCTTCGTAAACACCCAGCGCGATCGAAAGGCCGGCCGACATTAGGACACCGCGTATGCAAACCATCAGTACTGTTGTAACTCTTTCTCAAAAAACTCAATGTATGCGCCCTTGCCAACCGTTATCCTCATCTGTTGCAATTTTCTTCCCCGTCTTGATCGTGTACAAGTCATGATGAATATCAACGCACTCCCCAAGAATCTGGACGACGCACACGTACCAGTAACTGGCGTAGCAGACGTCGTTTACTTCCTGCTCGTCGCTCTCAATGTAAGTGCACTGACGTTAAGATCTGAGTGGCCAAAAGCTAACGGAAGCTGCAACGGACCCCAGCGCAGTAATGGAGACCTCACCTATTATGCGCAAAACTGTCTTAATACTGTTGGATGGCAACGTCATCAAGCCCAAGAGCCAAAGCTGCAGAGGTATTTTCTTCCTGGCCTTTGTTTTTTCTGCCCACATACACATTCGTCATGACGTCTATTGAAGATACGCGCAGAACACAACGATAGACTGCTGACCTGTTCGAAAGTGAGCACTCCTTGCTCAGCGGAAGCAATTCATATTTGAATGTCCGACGAAATGCAGGCAAGGACTCGTACTCTCACGATGAGCGCCATCTTAATGTTGCTTTTTTAGATGCTAGAGATGATCACAGCCAGGACGAGGACACTGGACGTCTACAGCTAAAAGAGCGATTCGATACGTATCACCATCTGTTTACTCTTCAGTAACACATCGGTCCTTACATCCGCCTGCTTCTGTGCTCTGCACGAGAGCTGGGTTTGACTCCTAGCCAGAAAATTGATTTCTTGGGTTGTAAGCCTTTCCACTCTGTAAGTCATCAATCTTTTTGCTCACCAGGTGATGCTTGCGACACGGCCAGATAGCCTTTCACCCCAGGCCTTGAGCCCGGACCCTAGGATTTCCTGAGTGCACTGTGTTCTCTAGTCGCCTTAGTCCTTCGCGATTACTTGGGAAACACAAGGCATATCATTCTGCTTTCGACTACAAGCCTAACACACTACTACCTTTCCTACATGCCCCTTCAAGAAGCCCTAGCGTTGGCCATGAACTGCGCCTCCGTCTGGTCCGCGGTCGGATTGATGGCGAGCGTCATCCCTAGACGGCAGTGAGCTCCGGCCGCTTGCCTGCACGAGATCCAGTGAGGCTCGGTATCGAGGATCGTGGTAGTGAACGTGCTACCCGGTGCGCTGACGGCGTCATGGCTAGAGCAAAGAGTATAAGACCTCGATAGTAAACGAAAGAAAGACAACCCACAATCCACTATCGAACGCGCTCGGTCCTACTCCACCCACGGGAGGAGGACAGGGAGATGTGAATGTGGTCGTCGTCGCTGTATCTGGTGGGAAGACAGGGAAATAGGTAGGTAAGGGGGATATGGCAGGAGTGGGGGTGGATACGTACGGTTCCTAGTGAGGTAGGTAAAGGTGACGGTATCCCCGATGGTGGGGTGGATCTCGTTCGGAGTGAACGTGAATCCGTTGCTG